TTACAACTGGTACAAATATAGCCACATCAGAACCAACAGCATGCGGCGCCGCGAGGGTGGTGCGGGGTGGGATACAAAACGGCGGAGGCGGAGGCCGTTGCGAGGGCGGACAAGAGAGAGGCCGGGACGGCGGACGTGAGAGACGCGCACGGACGGCCGGCGCGGGGTGGGGCCGGAAGAGAGGGGCGGGCGGAAGGTGGCGGGGGCGCTCAGTAGAGAGCAACAGAGCAAGGGCGCGGTGCGCGCGGAGAGGGCGAATCGAGGCGCGGGGGATGGACGAGGGGCTGGCGGCGCGGCGGCGGCGAGGAGCGGGTGAGTGGCAAGCGGGAATGGCTGCGCGGATGGCAACGAGATAGGCGGCGATGCAGGGCGGCGTTCGGGTGCGCGAGGCGTGCTGATTTGCGCGCTTTGGGCGGCGTTTACGCGCTTGGCGGCGGGCGGTCGACAGGAACGACGATTCGCGGGGGCTGCGGCTTGGAGGCGGGGCGGAGAGGGCCGCAATCACGGGGAGAGATCGGGCGGTGTTGTGGACGGAAGTGCCTGAAGGGGCGTGCGGAAGCGGCGCGGGGGCGCGCGCAGGAAATCCGACGTGGGGGCGCGCGCGGGGGGCGTCCGAGCACTCACTCACCTCGGCGTCTGCCCCCGTCTCACCGACCCCCTTCGTCGCAATCCTGCCGTCGGCCCCTTTCGGTATTTTTCTTCCATCTTCGTCCTAGCGCCCTCCCCGTGCTTTGCCCAGGGCTACCAACGGAGTAGCAGCAGGGACTCCTGCTGCCAGAACGCACGACAAACCGGAAGTGACGTCGGTGCTTCCTGCGCTGGTGCGCTGCTTCGGTCCGTTGTTCCTGGCGAGCTCGGTTATAAAGCTCGGACAAATAACCCTTAAATACACGACGCCTTCGCTGCTGAGGTAAGTAAACAACGTCATCACACAAGAGTACGTATAGCAAGCCTCAACGAGACGAATATATCTGTCCAGTTCGTACAGATATCTCATTATTTCAGTTTATGGAAACATCAGTTGTTTAATATACATTTTTCATTAATTGTCTGCGAGTTTTTATAGAAATGTCACTTAATGGTAGGGGCATATATGCTAGATCCATTATTTAACTTCACATTACCATATAACAATTCCAATAAGATATATTTAGGCTCTCCAAGAAAAAAAGGAATTTAAGGGTAGTTAAATTATTCTTCATGAAAACTGAATTAATTTTCTATCCGTAACGATAATGGATACACAGTTCTTTTGTATTTAAAACAAACACTGTATTTTCAAACAAGTATTTTGCTTAAATAGCACATTTTACTTTTAGAGAAATTTTGCAGTGAGCTCAAATGAATTTCCTCTTCAGACTGAAATGATTCTGTGTTTCTTCAAAATTTAGATATCATAATATGATATTATTCCTTTTGTACCTGAAAGATTCCTTAGTTACACCAAACATCTTAACATTCGTAAATGCATAAAAAAACTAATAATCAGAATTTTCAAGTGACATTTTCATACGACACAAAAACGTTTGCGTAAGAGCGTATACGTCTACAAGTGTTCACTGAAGACACGTCTCATAATTCTTATTTACGATTCAAGTATCGTAAGAAAAATTATTAAAAGAGGTCGTCACACCCTTAACCTGCTATTGTAGTAATGTTTTCGTGAAGTAGTAATGTAGTCAGATCCTAGTATTATAGTTAAAGTTTTGCCAATCTTGCATTTATTAAACGAATAAAACGGAATGGTTTAGTTCACACAGATCGGTATGCTCGAATGTACTACAAGTAGTACTTTTCAGATATTTCAGATATATTTTCAGCTATTTTTATCATTTTGAACAGAAATAATAGGATGAAATATCTTTATAAGTAGTGCCTAACATCCTCAAAAAGCCGCTGAACGAAACCACACAATATGGTTTCCTATGTGGGGAAAAAAAAAGTGTTTCAGTTTCTGTATGTTCTCCAATTCTGTAAATTCATGAGAAGCAATTTTCTTATTTTGCATGCAGTATACTTTCCTCCAAAAAACATCCATCGACAAACTGCTATGCAGCAATCAAACATTTTAAATGGCATTCTCCTTTATTTTTATTATACTCGAAATGAATCACCCTGTACAGGTTTCAACAACATATTAATTTAGACAGAAACGTACTCGGATAGAAGAAATTATACAGAATTTTAAGGAAAATAAATTATAGAATACAAATCGTGACTACAGAATAAGTTGAAAGAAACTTATTCGAATGTATAATTTTTTAAACACTGGGTGCAGACTCTAGTAACGTCATTATGCTGAAATATTAAAGCACAATAACCGATTTTTATAGCCTACCAAGTGTGTGTCGTTTAATGTATGTATTTGGCATTTTGAGGTCTGCGAGCTTATGGTTATATGGACCTAGTACCTTCCCATGCATTTGTAGGTAAAAACATGAGGCGAACATGACGTATTCCCTTCACCGTTCCTAGCAAAATCCCGCCTGCCTGAGCTTTTCTTCGACAAACAGCTTAAGAAACTGGAACGATTTTAAAGGAAAGATACAACTATTTTTTGCCTCGACAGGAATCGAACCCTAGACTATATCTCGGACAGATACTACATTGCCCATGAGCCATCCTAGAAGCATGTGTCTTTCAAAACTTTTCATCACTCAATCAATCATTTCTCAAAGTTTTCAAAATATCATCTTTAACAAAAAAAAGTCAGGATAATTTTCTTGGAATATGCGTTTTCATTGGGCATCATTAGCTCATATTATTCGTTTCCATTGCCGTACACGGACAGTTTACTCAAAGTACGGATACTAATCGTTGAGTGATTTTTCATTACCCTATTTGGTTAAGTTGGTAAATCGGAATATTATTACAAGAATGTATTTTTTGTACATTCAAAACTGTGAAGAATATTTTTTTTACATTTTATATACCAGGAGAGGTGGCTCAAGGCTTCAACTTATGTAACTGCAATGCCACTGAGAGTCCTAGGTTCCAGTCATGACCATGGCAGCATTTCCGACACTAGCTGCGTAGATAGATCGAATTCAGTGGAAGTCTGTAGGAAAATTCTAGCGGCCAGCTGCTCTGATTGGTACTTTCCGTGCTTTCTCCGATCAACGCTAGGCGAATGCCAGGCCAGTACCCTATCACGCCACGGACCGTCCGCGATCTTTCCTTAATCTTCCTTATGCTATCCTCACCCCTTACTTACTAACACTTATTATACCTATATACGCTACCACACATGCCGGAAGACTGATTGGGCGCTTCGAGCTTGTCCCGACTGCGGTGCCCCGTTGGTGGGACATACGTAATTTGGGAAAACCCCGCTAGTCAACAGAAAGGTCGGCGTCGGATCTCACCATCAAGTGGGAGAAGATCATCACCCGATGCACTATACTTACGGGACTTATTACTTCAGCAGTTGAGATGCCCGGCATCACTAACCAATCAAATCAAAATTTTCCTTTTATAGAGATATTATTAAACTTTTTATGGAAGCTGGTGGTCACAGTGTGTACTCGTATTAATTTTTGTGAGTGAATACACAAAACTAAATACCAGATATTGAGCAACGTTTCAGATAGAAAGTTGCCAACTATAAAAAAGTCTTGTTAATTTTCCTTTGCGAATTAGTACGCATTGCGACTAATAATTGTAGTAGTAATAATAATAATAATAATTAAATAATAATTAATAATAATTAAATAATAATAATTATAATAATAATAATAATAATAATTATTATTATAATTATAATAATTATAATAATAATAATTATTATTATAATTATAATAATTATAATAATAATAATAATAATAATAATAATAATAATAATAATAATAATAAAGCCGGCTCCGTGGCGCAGAGGGTAGCGGCAGCCGTCGTCTTCGCCGTGGAAGCTGCAGATTCAAGTGCTGCATAGGCAAGATCGCATTTGTGATTGTCCCTTCACCACTCATTGTCATCTTATCACCCCATTATTTATAATTCATGGCGTAACTTGTCTTACCTAGGGATACAGCTGTAAAAACTTGATCCCCGTAATTACACACGTAAATCTCTCCGAGGACTCGAAAAATAACGTGTAGCGTAGTCATAAACGGCCTATACGCAAATATAATAATAATAGTTATTATTATTATTATTATTATTATTATTATTAAAAAGCATACATAATATTATTCTTTTCTATATATCTCTTGTGTATATTTTTGTAAATGTTTGTAAAATTGTATGAATTCTTGTGTTTGCTAGCATCGAATTTGTACAAAATAACCAATGTAAAAGTTGAAAAAATAAAACAATAATAATAAAGACACTAATTAAACAAGTCCCTCTCGTTGCGCCATTCACGCAGCCTGCTCATCGAGTTCGCGAGCAGCGATGAGCCCGAATGGCGAGGCCTCCTGTACGCGATCCTGCTGCTGGTTGCGGCCAACGGCGAGACCATCTTGTACGGCGCCCAAAACCGCATCACCAAGATCGTGAGCATGCGAGTCAACACCGCCCTCATCGCTGCCATTTACAAGAAGGTAAGCTATCCTCTTCCCTTAAACTTACTTCTTTATTTGCTTCCTTGAGAGGTATATCTGAATTATTCCTGTTGCGAAGCGCATGATGGTTCATAGAATTAAGAATTAATGTTACTAACGAACTGTGTCATTTTACCTACGTGGAAACTACAGCCGAAGTTATTGAATGTGTGACAGAAATAAACATGCGATATTATCAAAAAGGAATAATGTTTTGAAAAGAGTGCCGTAAAAAACAGAAGGACCCATTGTTAACTCGACAGTTTGCCATGTATCACGATTATCAAAGAGCCAATTTTCTGGTCATTTCGATGTATTACCCGCGCAACATATCTTGACCGAATGAAATATTGTCTTCCTTCGTCTCACAGAGATTAAGGTAAATGCTCGCAGCGAGAACAGATGAAAACATTCCAAATACATTTTCCACGGCACCAAACAGAAGCTATTTGCTTTTGACAACCAAAACACCTGTTTGTGTTATTTCTCGAAAAATCCTCAAGAAATGGCTGAGACAGTTCCAGGTTCTTCCCAGAAGACACCTCGAACTCTTGCGAAGGTTGATTTTGTAATAACAAGTAAACAGTTTACGAAGAAAATTCTGTTTCAATGCATTCCAAGCCGGAAATCGCATGAGTCATAGAAAATGAACAATATGGAAAACATGCAATACATGCAATTTTTACTGGCTCTTCTTCAGGATCGCTGTAGTGTCCTTGTAAAGTTTGGTAAAGATTAATTCAGCAAAAGTGCCGAAAATTAATTTAAATAACATGTTGTTAAAAGTACCAAGATCATTATTTTTTGCCCGTCGCTAGGAGCAGATTGGTTCCTAACATATTCCGCCAGAGGCTACTAGCGGTACGGTACCTAATAGGTTCGCTAGAGACCAGTATCAGCGCGTAAGATAATAAAAATAATATAATAGCAATGTATTGTAAAATAAAATTAAAGAAAATTACATTACTTTATTTACTTTTTAACCAATTGCATTGAAAATAACCATCTTTTACTGGTTTATATAAAATGTATATTTTTCTTCTTTCGTAAACATTGGACATGAAGAAAACGCGGGCAACGCCGGGTATTTTGCTCGTTGTAAATCGACTGTGTACATACCAATGTCATGTTGTCCGAGATTTCTGCAAAACCCTTAAATCACTACATGAAGAGTGTGTGTGCGTGCGTGTTGAGCAGGCGCTGAGGCTGTCCAGCGCCTCGCGGAAGGAGTCCACCGCCGGGGAGATCGTGAACCTGATGTCGGTGGACGCGCGCCGCTTTGTGGACGTGAGCGGCTACCTCAACCTGCTGTGGTCCGCGCCCCTCGAGATCGGCATCGCTCTCGGCCTCCTCTGGATGCAGCTGGGTGAGAAAACGCACGGCTGCGCTCCTTCACTCAGATTGATTGATTAGTAATTTCGGCCGCGTCGAATGCTAAAAGCGTTGTTTCCGTAAATGAAGTGTATTATTTTCCATCGGGAGGTGGCGGTGATTTTTCCCCGCTGGATAGTGAGATTCAGCGCCGACGCACCCGTCGGTTGGCTGGTTTTCCCCAACCAAGTATCTCCCACCAGCGGGGCACCACCCTAGTCGGCTCCCGACCGGTCTCCGGCACGAGTGACAGTGTAGTGCATGCAAATGTTTGTGTGCGAAAGTAATGGGTGAGGATAGAAGTAACACGAAGGGAATATTCCTTGCGGTCGATGACCTTGCTTTGCTAAAATACTCTTCCGTCAGATCGTAGTGCTCTCGCCTACACTTCAATCGATTCAATCCGGTCGATTCTACTAATGAATTCAATACGTGGTGAGGCTCAGACCGTCAGTTCCGCTCTTCCGCCTACTCCTCGACAAAAATTCAGCTACGCTCCTTTCGCCAACTAGAAAGTATTGCTCTGGGGATGAAACAGGTAATTTGAATAGTTTAGAGGAGCACAAGGGCTTTAGCTTGATCTTTCACGTCGTGGTAGATCTACAAACTGGAACATCGTATTCCATGCGTGGGCTGCTTCAGCACACTACTTGTCCTGCCGGGAGAAATGCTCGGGGTGGGCATCTAGGTTCTTTGGCTTTTATTCGCACTTCCTTTCCGGGCAAGAACACCTTCAGGCTGGTGTCTGGATCCCAGACGCAGTAACCGTTCATGGGGATCTCCCCAATTAAGCCTGGTTCGGGCCACTCTGTCAGTTCAGAGATACTAGCTTTCCAAGTTAGCACTGAAGTCGAGTTAAGCGCCACTCACAATGCTCCGGGACAAATCCCTTCTAAATTGTCCATGAGTATCGGGAACTGCAATGTTGAAGCCAAGTGCCCAACTGGTGACTGCCCGGACTATGACCCGGTTTCATCGAAGCTAAACCCAAGAAACAGTGGAGAGAGGTATTTCCTGAATTAGGTAACTGATAGTTACAAATTGTTTTAACGATCGCACAACACGATATCCTCTACGCAAGTCCACCTGCTCTTCAATTTCCCGCGAACGTGCCAAGTTGCGCATGAAGCGGTGTTGGTGTTTCTATCTAGCTAGGGATTTCATACACCGCAAATTTCGTATCTTTTTGTTAATAAACGGAAACTACGATCTATTCAATATACGTATGGTGACCTCCACTCCTAATTTTTCTTTTTTCATTTTCCTTTTTGTACCGCACTTGTTTAAAACTAGTCTCTGGGAGCCGATTAGAAGGAACATTAAAAATGCTTTCTCTTTAGAGCTTTTATGATTGGCAGCTTTCGAATCTCAAAAAGTCATGTGTGTCTAGGTACGATGAGTTGTAGGATTTATCCTGTTGTTGCAAAATCGTACGTGTATTTCCTCCGGCGATGAAAAATGGCACGTCCCGTGACAAAACTTTCCAAATCGTTACGAGAGGCTGTCATATACGCCCAACGAGAGGACGCCTTTTTCGAACCAAGCCGATGACCCCTGACGGAAAGGAAAATGTGACGCGCTAACTGCTGTGAGTGGGAGATTCTGATAGTTTCACAATTCTGACCGTATTTCCATGCACAATGCCTCTAAATTAATACACCAACACTCTTAAGAATTTTACAACATCGCTCGTACCGCAGTATAATTCATACTCGCGAATCAATAGCCGTCATTACATAATTGTTTTAGAATGTAATACCAACTAAGTACGTTTGTCCTAATGTCATAGCGCCTTCATTGAAATAAAAGCGAAAGTTTTTGGGTTGAAAACATTTGGCAACTTAACGAAAGCAGTGTGGCTGCGAAATTTTCATCGTATTTCTACAGTATCCAATCATTATGCGTTGAAAAAGGAAGTAGATGGGCTGTGCATAATTACTTAGTAATATCGTAGGTGTACTCGTTGGTTTGTACTCTGGTATTCAGACTGGCTTAGTGTCATGGCTGATTATGCAATTCCAATCTTTCTTACTACATTGACAAAGACCGATGATCGTAAGTAAAAGGGTTCAGTGATGCTCTTGACAATAGTAGCAAAGAAGTTGTGGTAAGGGGCATCAAGAACGCACTCTTGATTCAGTAACCTAGAGGACGGCTCAAGATGGAAAAACAAGGGTGAGCTAGTTCCGAGCACCGATTTTTGATCGTTCTACGCAGCAACAGTTAACGTCACGAAGCACGTGACACATCGTCACGGGGACTTCGTTTGAAAACCCAGGCGAGGAAAAGAGAGAGGGGGGAGATTCAATACTCGTTCCATGCACGTGGAATGTGGAGAACGAAGCAAGTTCACAGAAAGTTTTCTGTGGGTACCCCATTTCCCTAGCCACTAATTCAACCTTCTACATCTTCAAGCTCATTACATGCGTCATTACAATTATTACAATCACGACTACATCTCAACATAAACGCCTTATTGAGAAGGCCCGACAACGGCAGAGATTTTGGCTTCACAACTACGACTATTAGATCGTCTCTTCTACGAGTAGTATGAGTGTCATAGGTAAATAAATAGTTCAGCAATAGAAAAAAATCTGCAGCTGAATACAATAATAGAGCGAAGAACTCATAAAGTGTGCATGGTTTAGAATTAGGAACGCCTCCAAAATACGTAGTAGTATAATTGTGTTCGGCACTTTTCGTCTCTACTGTGCCTGCTGGCGGCCGGATAGGCAACCCTCCCGGCATCGCTGAGCGACGGCGCAGGCGCGCGGCCCCTGATTCGATTTCGGCCGCTCAATTGCACTAGCCCGCCGTTTAGCGCGGGCCACGCGGAGGCGGGCCGGTTGGTGGGACCTAACGACTGAGCATTGGCCGCGTGGCTCTTTCTGACTCGTTTTCCGAGATATTCTTACAGAGGTCGCCAACAAATTGACTAAATCTAGTATTTGCATTTTTTCAAGTTTTATTATTAAGCCGAAAATCCACGAACAATTTTTAAACAAGCAGGAAACTCTAAAAATTGAAATACGTTTGCATATTTTGTTACAACTAATTTTTTAAATAATTTAGATACAATTACTCAGCCATTTTCATTTAATTTATTTTAGGTGTCTTTTCGTTATTAGTCATTGAACAGTAATATCTGAAAACCAGGAATTAATATTCAAGATTTAAAAAATTTTGTTCAGCCGATTTTCTTCAAACTTGGTATACCTGAATCGATTTAAAGGAACTCGAAATCCTCTGATTACGAAATACATCTTTATTTTTGGAGGTACTTTATATGAAGCTTCAACATTTTCAAAATTTCTCAGAAATGGCTACAAATTTTTGGATTAATCTTTGCTGGGTAGTGTACAAGACTAAAAAGAATGGCGCATGTCTCACTTTCTTTGAAGTCTTCGATGTTTTTTAACTTGTAAAAGTTCAATTTTTTTCGGAATTTTACTCCAAAAATAATATTAAAATAATTTTTTTCCTGAATGGAAATATGTTCTTCAAATATAGTTCTCGAAATAACGTCATAAACAATTCTTAAAAAATCAGTATTTTTCGCGTAATTTTGTAGTAAAATTAGACATTTTTTAAACAATTGGTTTCTCAGTTTTCTCCTCGTATGTATCGAAGCTCGGTAAAATACTGAAACTAGTTCCATTTCCCAATAACTCTCCGTATTTTCGACAATTGCGGAAAGTTAAAATTGCAAAAGTTCAATATTGAAAATTGAGAATTTTGTCTTAAACAAAATGTTCTAAAAAATCAAATCTTTAAAATATCATAGATGATTTAAAAACAAAACGAGTGTTTTCGCGTAATTTCTGCTTGAAGTTAATGCAAAATATTAAAATAAATATTTTCTCAAAAACCGGTCCAAATTGTTGCCTTAAACGTTTTCTTCTATTACAACAAAAACTTTAAAGACACTTAAAACAATGGCACAGGTCATTTGTTTAATTGAACTCTCTGAATTTTTGGAAATTATTAAAGTTTGAAAAAATGCCAGAAATGTCATCTTGTAGCACTACTAGTTACTAAATATGTGGACCAGTCAAATGAGATATGGGAAGTAAAAATGAGATAAATGAAAAAAACGTAAGTTAGCTGTGTATTATTTGGAAAGTAATCGCTTTAACCATTTATAAATTTATCCCACAGTGAGGCCAGTGTGTTAATGCTTTCACAGAAACATGTTTGCAGTTGTCTTTGAAACAATGACTCTACCCAGGCGCGCACCTCTTTGTGCGAAGCAAATCGATGGCCATGAATATCTTCAGGACTTCAAAAATGTTAGAATCCCGTGGAATCGATCTGGACTGTGTGAAGGATGTGTGGGCTTCCCTGCGGAACTTCTGCAGCGTAATCGAAACAACCTTGGCAGCTTGCGGATGGGCATTATCGTGCAACAGAATGATCCAATCTGTCACGATTCTTGAGCGTCTGGACTTTATGACGAGCGTTTAGCAGTTCCCACTGTATTCACTACAAACAATATACACGCTGGCACGAATATTTCCTAACACTTCTTGTGCTGTCAAAACACGCACTATACCTCGCTGTTCCTTTTCCGGCCACAAGTGATGTCGGACGCGCACAGACTCGCTGGCGTCACTTCAACCATGTCTAATAGACAACGGGCAGTATCGACCCTGCGTAGGATACTACTACACAAATGTCTTGCTTTACCAGGGGGCACAAGTCACCAAGGTGGGTATCTGAGTTTTCGCCTTTATCCGCACCTCCTGTCGGTGCACAAGAACGCCGACAGATTGATATTCGGATCCCACCAGAACGCAGTTTGCCATCACGGCAACCTCCCCATTCAGTGCCTGGGTTGGGACCGCCCTGTTAGCTCAGAGCTACCAGCTATCCAGGCTAGTACCGGAGACCAAACAATGCGCTACTCACGTGCGCCGGCAACAAGTACCTCCTCAGTTCACAGAGTATTGGGCCAAAGTAAGGTACAGGCGGCTTGGGACTCCTTTCCGTGTCTTCACTGCTTCCACCTTGAAGCTATTGCCGTTAATATTGCCAAAACGTAGGCAATTTGAAAAGGGGTATCTGGTCCCCGTCGGGCTTCTAAATGTGGAATTCGGATCATTCCAATCCTGCCCAAATGTCGACAAGCCAGGAGCCCAACTGGTTACTGGGTAAGGCCCGGTAACATGGAGCTTTGCATCGCCTACTTACTGCCTCCACCTTGAAGCTAACGGCGTGAGTGTGACCTCAGAGTCCGGGTCCGGGTGGTCGTCTACAACTCTCCATAAGAAATCGTGTCCATGTACGCAGATGCGATTCAACCTGCGGAGAACAGACCAACGGCAGAGCAGTGAACGTTCGCGTTCCTTCCTGACACTCAATAGTAGGTACTTCTGCACACACGCACGCACACACACACACACACACACACACACACACACACACATCATCTCTACCAACTTCCGCGCTGTGTTTGTTATACAGTCTTTCTCGTTTTCATTTGACACTAGTGGGCCTGGCAATGATTCAGTGTCATACTACTGGTCTCAAAATGGTACACATCTCACAATACTGGTCACGCCATTGTTAATCACATTTTACGTCACGCTCAGCAAAAATTCTAACAGATGAAGGCTTTCTCGCAAGTATGGTTTTGTTTTATGTTCTGGTTTGGAATTGGGTTGTCAAGTATCATATCGTTAAAACATTGACTGTGCGGCGGGTGGTGTAGACGTTAGAGGCACTTGAGTCGTCATAAACGCATACATCATTGTCAACAACGCCTCCACACGTTCAATTTTATTCAAATATCTTTAAAACACTTCTATTATTAATAAGAACAAAATGTGGAAATTTCAGCGACATCGGTCGCGTAGTTTTTCCGTCTATGTGCGACACACATAGGCACATACCGTTTTATTTACATATAGATAGATGTAGCCCATATATCCAAAATCTCTATCCGGTGGCGTTTGGCACGCTCGGCAGGCATGGCGATGCTGGCGGGACTAGGCGCGGTGCTGCTGCTGGTGCCGCTGAGCATGGTGGTGATGCGCCGCCTGGAGACGCTGGAGGGCCGCCAGATGAAGCAGAAGGACACGCGCATCAAGATGATGACGGAGATCCTGGCCGGCATGCGCGTGCTCAAGCTGTACGCGTGGGAGCCCAGCTTCCAGGAGCGCGTGGGCCGCGTGCGCGCCAAGGAGCAGGCCGTGCTGCGCACGCGCGCCATCCTCGACGCGTGCATCTCGCTCCTGTGGGTGTGCGCGCCCACCGTGGTGAGTTCCACGTGCAATGTCTCGCCATTCTCAATGATCGTACAAATTCATCCGTATCATGACTTGATAGTGCAAATACAAGAATCATTAAACTCGGATGTTTGATGCATTTACCTACCTCATATCAGAATAAAAAAGATATGACTTTCTTTTCTTAAAAAATTGTGTTTATTAAGTATTAACTACAGATTTTTTACAAATTGCAGGTGGTAACGGTAACATTTACAACGTACTTGCTGATGGATAGTTCCCACGTCCTTGATGCTCAAAAGGCTTTCGTGTCTCTGGCACTGGTCAACATGATTCGCATTCCATTGGTGATGCTGCCCCATCTCATCATATCGCTTGTGCAGGTACAACCAATCCACTTTATTTGAAATGAGGGCATCAAATAGTTTAGCATTAAGTTCAGATAATATTTTCGGTTATTAAGATGTTTCGACTTAAATTTCAGTTTTCCGTTTTGATTTCAGAACATTCCGGTTTTAATTGATATTTTTATTGTTATTATTATTATTACATTATGTTATAATTCAGTGGTAAAGATACACATCTTTGGACTATCTGACGCTTTGACACTTTTTCTGTTGTCTCTATGGCAAAAACCTCATTAAATTAAAATAAGTAAAAAGTGTTCTCTTTAAAAAAAACTAACATCTAATGTTACACAAGGAGTCACATTTCAAAACGACTTCATCATAACAAGTTAAGATAATTATAAAGACCTTCAAAACCCAAAATAGGAAACGAAACTCGTACAGTTCGCTCCGGTTCAGCATGTGTCTAATGAAAGAATAACGTCTTCAGTTTCGCTCTTTCTATTTAAAGAACTGTTTTTCACTATTTTGTTTAGAGTTAAGGTGTGGTTAGGTAATGCCTTGTTACCCCGGATAGTTACATTATCCATGTTTTAAACTTGTTTCTTCATCACCATTCTGCCAAACAAATAGTGTAATTATGTAATTTCTTTCTCCAGGTCCGTGTGTCGCTGGGCCGTATCAACAAATTCATCAACGCGGAGGAGCTAGATTCTTCAAGTGTTTCACACGATGCTGCAAATCGTAAGTCCAGTTGGTTAATTTTGTTTAAAATGTGGATTCACATTAATATGGAATATTTTGTGTTTGTAGCGAATTATGGTCATTAGGTAATTAATGACATAGAATACAGTGCCCAGAAATCTTACCCAGGTCGGAAGTATTCCACCTAGGAAACTGGTACCGTAAGTGTAGTGTATGCATACCGTGACTTACGAGAGAGTTCCTCCCCCACTATATCGGCGCCAACCTACTCGGCGGCTTGGTTTTCCCAATCTAGGTATCTTCGCCAAGCGGAGCTTGGAGGCTCCAGCCTGGACGACATCTGCGCTCCCGATAAGTCTTCCGACATGTGTGGTGATAATGTTCAGTATGAGTCACTGTGTGTATGTGGGCGTATGTGGTATTAAGTGGGATGAGAGAAGTAGATCGCGGAAGGATAGATTGAGCTCGGTCCGTGGCCAGTCTATTAGGGTACTACTCCATCGTTTGCTTGGTGTTGACAAGAGAAACTAGAGAAAACTTCCGACCAGAGCATTCGGCCGCCAATTCTCCGCTAGACAGAGTCTGTATTCGACGTGGCTGTGCAGTGTGGGTGCGAGCGTGCATATGCGCGCGTGTGCGCAGCGCTGGTGCTGAGCGTGGCGGACGGCAGCTTCGCGTGGGCGCCCGAGGAGCCGGCGACGCTGCGCGCCGTGCGCCTGGCCGTGCGCGAGGCGCAGCTCAGCGCCGTGGTGGGGCCCGTGGGCGCCGGCAAGAGCTCGCTGCTGGCGGCGCTGCTCGGCGAGATGCACTGCCTCAGCGGTCGCGTCAACACCAAGGTAACCGGCCACACGGAAGCAGGGGAGTTCGGGAGACCTGCGGTTGCGACCACCATCATTCTCTTAAGCTGCCTTAAGCTACCCGACCGCCAAGTTAGACCTTTTTTTAATTTAAATTTTGAAAATGACCTAAGGGCTTTATGTAAGGTACCCTTCAAAATTAGAATACCAGTTTCAAATTCAGTGGTCCGCCACATCAGCCACATCGCTTGGAGAGCATCAGTTTTGCACAATATCGGCTGGACAGTTTAGGCACTAACATTGACTCCACATGGACGGACAGACTTTTGCCGTCAATTGATATTTCTGTATGACGGACGTATTTCATGTATTCTGACGTCACGTTTTAGAGAAAGTAATTAACTGTTTACACGTTTAGGGTAAAGCTTGTCCAGTTTTTTGTTACCAAAGTTCTGCAATAAGAGTTGTTTTGATGAAAATTCGCCCTTTGTTCCTGCAGCATTACAATGCTTTCTGTATAATGCGTAAACCGTAGCGAGAGATGTACAAATTGTTTATTTCTAAATAAAGTATATTAAATAATTGAAATGGTTCAGTCATTCATTATATACGCCATTTCAATTATATACCAGTTGAGACAAGAAAATACTCAAAGTGTGTTCATTGACGTTGGACATACACACTTTAAGAGAAATTTTCTGAGCCGAAGTATAAATTTCGCTTTGCGGACTGCCACCCAACAGCTAATGTTATTCATTCACAAAAATAAGAAAAATAATTGATAGTCTGGAATTAAAAAGAGAATTATTTATACGTATACCAAATTCCCAGCTTCACATACATCTGGTTGGAAACGAATGTACCAAAGACGTTTATTTCATTATTAGAAGAGGATTGACCGAAGTGTATTTTCCTAGGAGTCAGAGTAGTTGCAGGTGGAGTGCTTCTCAAAAGTCACTTTAGTTTCAGATCAGTTCGTTTTGCGCAGGGAACTATAGCTTACGTGCCGCAACAGGCGTGGATGCAGAACGCCACTCTGCAGGACAACATCCTCTTCGGTCGGCCGTTGGACAAACCGCGCTATGAGCGAATCATCGACGCTTGCGCGCTGCGCCCCGATCTGGAGATGCTGCCCGCCGGCGACCAGACGGAGATCGGGGAGAAGGTGAGTCACAGGCGATTCGCCCCATAGAGTTCGAGTCACGATGCTCCGAGTGATCCGAGCGCTTCGACTACTATAGTCGCCATAGTTTCGAGCGCGTCTCGACATTCGAGCGCGCCCCGACATTCGAGCGCGCCTCGACATTCGAGCGCGCCTCGACATTCGAGCGCGCCTCGACATTCGAGCGCGCCTCTACATTCGAGCGCGCCTCGACATTCGAGAGCGCCTCGACATTCGAGCGCGCCTCGACATTCGAGCGCGCCTCGACAATCGAGCGCGCCTCGACAATCGAGCGCGCCTCGACAATCGAGCGCGCCTCGACATTCGAGCGCGCCTCGAGTATCGCGAAATGAGAGAATTTAAGGTTTGAGATTGGAGAAAATGTGGACTTCGTGCCACTTCCGTAATTGCCCTTGCGTAATTTGGTGCGATGCGGTTCGGTGCGCAGGGCATCAACCTGAGCGGCGGCCAGAAGCAGCGAGTGAGTCTGGCGCGCGCCGTGTACGCCGACGCCGACGTCTACCTGCTGGACGACCCGCTCAGCGCCGTGGACAGCCACGTGGGGAAGCACCTCTTTAATGAAGTGATCGGCCCAGCGGGGCTTCTCAAGAACAAGGTGAGCTCCTCCCTCTCACACAGGGATACAATGTTGGGCGGAATTCCGAAAATTCGTTGAAAAAAATACCGCCGTTCCCGGGAAGAAAACTCATTTTTTTGGAATTCCGTCCAACCTGCAGAATTCTGTGTTTATTGGACCTTTTTTTGACCGTTTCTTTTCTTTCTTGAATCGTTAATGGTACCTTTTTCTAAAAATTACAAATATTTACGTGCATTGAATTAAGTTATCACGGAATTGCAATAGGAATTTTGTGGAAGATTAGCTCAATAGATATAATATTCTTATGCGTTAAAAATTCCAATGGAAAATTGCTGGGACAACCCACTCCGCCTACAACTAGGGTACCACCTCGCGTTGCAGCCGAGAATGTACAAGTCAGCAGGGCGGGGAAGAGAGGACTGTAGCTCAGGAGGCGGGGGGGGGGAGGGTGAAGAATAGACACTTGGCTGGAAGCGCGAAGCCAGGTTGGCGAGCGACGGGGTAAGCGTTGGGGCGACAGATGGGAATCGTGATGGCGAAAATCGCTGCCCTATATTGGGAATTGGCTTCGAAAGGAGCGTTCTCTTCCACATTTCAAGTTCACTGAATACTTTCGTTCTTTGGTGCTGGGAGAAGTTCAAATGTAACTTTAAGATTTGAATTAAAATATCATGTTGTGTCCTGGAAATGGGGTAAGACGCCTAGTTATGTTGCAGTGGTGGAGATGCCGATGAATGGTGCGTTGAAATCTAATAACATATTCTCTTCGTTGTCTTATCAATGAGTTTAATGGTAAGAACTTTTCCAATGTCTTATATTTTTTCTGGTAGATTCATTTTCTCTACGTCTCTTAGATACATCTAATGCTCGTGGCAGTCGATAAATATTCTCACAGTATGGATAATTGTCATGGGGTTCACGTTTAGTGCAGCTGTATGGAGAACCGTCAGCAGTTCAGAGTTCAATCTACCGACCCCTGAAGAAGATCGGTTTACCGATTACATATAGTAAAAAGTGGAGAAAGAACTTTAGACATAGATTTCTGGTATAGCACACCTATTCAGAACGGCGTTAACAACTAACATGCCTGGTCCGCCCTTTCTTGAGGCTCTTTCAGGCTGATGGCTGGATGTGGACACGGTGGGTGGTCTCATCAACATTCCTTTCCGCGCATAAGAACATTGTAACTTTGATCTATTAAGCTAATTTGTCACAGATTTCCTACGTATACGTGACATAACAAACGCCGTTCGTTTGGTTATCGTTCTGTTCAAAGGCTTCTTTTGTCAGCCAAATTTGCTAACACTGAAGAAATTTTCAACTAAAAATAACAATGAACAAAAAGATATTATTACGGGACTGAGCCACACTCCACTTTATGTAACACCTTTCTCTCGTTCTTTTAGACACGCGTCCTTGTCACTCACGCTGTGACGTACCTGCCTGAGACTGACCAAATTCTGGTCCTGAAAGAAGGAAAAGTGTCCGAATCAGGTTCTTACACGGAACTGTTGGAGCAGGGCGGCGCCTTCGCCGACTTTCTTCAGCAGCACGCACAAGATGGATCTGAAGAGGCGGGTGAGTAAAAACAAGCTAGCTCTCAAAAACAATGTTTCTGTAGCTGAACTGCTTGGGGGACAAATATTCCACTCTTCATATAGTCGTTCATGATAGAAAACCTATGTGAAAAAACTTACAGAGGAAGGAAAAACACTTTATGGTGTTAATAATGCAGAGTTGGCTTTGTTTAGACATTCTACTCTTTCTGTATAATAAAATTAAGTTTTTAATTTTTCGTAATAATTTTCTAAAATCATCTTACAAACACCTCACGTGTACCTCTTACCACATACGAGATATCAATAAATTATAAAGATCACATAGGAGTTTTTTTTTTATTTTAAAATCACAATTCCTAGTTCTCTTTGGACATTTTCTTTTCAAACTAAAGAACTTGCAAATTCTGAATCATTGATACCAAAATGTAAAAATCGTCAATTCCGTTACGTAAAAGGTTGTCCATCATCAACGAGAATATACTAAAATTTTGACTGAAAGCTGTGCTCCCTACAGAATCATCGGCTGACTCCAGGCAACGTATTCAAATGTACTCTCCGTGGTTTAATTTAGGGACCACACGTTTCGTACGCAGAAATTCTGCACTCGTCACTGAGAGACGGCCACACTGAATGGTCATTCAAAGAAGAATATATAGAAGCATATATTTCAATAGAAGCATATATTTAGTGCACATTCATAGGCTCACCAGGGTTTCTGAGGATCTGAAAATGTTACTGAGAATGTAAAGATCTGATTGAAAATACAGTACATTTTCTTCAGTAAAATATTCAAATGTAAATTAAAGTGTGGCTATTTACAGATGAAGAAGAAGGCGATGAGGAACCCGTTGATGAAAGAGCAGACGGCTTGGCCAGTGGTGATGTTCAGAGAGATTTTAAAAGGTAAGGGGGCTCAAGTTTTACTTGCCTGATTTGAAACTTGTTTTCAGATATAGTATTGTATTCGGAAGATTAAAATCTGAATATGTTATACAATTTTGCTCGAGAGACAAATATCAATACCCACTAGTGCATTATTAGTTATTAAAACTATTTTCAAGGTCGATTTTCTTTCATGGCATTTCAATATATGCGAATGTCTGTGTTTTCTAATGATTAATGTGTTTCTATTCGTTAAAAACATTTTAAAAAATCATAGAAGGAAGAAATACACCACTAAAAAAATCTACCTTAATTGACAATATCGTTGCATTTGATTAATTAAATATTTTAATGGTATTTTTTGATAGATTTTCTAATGTTGGTGAGTAGTTTTCGCGTAATTTTGGGCAATATATAGACAATTTAATAGTTTTCAAAAAAATTGTTTAAAAAACCTCTTTAATTTTTTTCTTTAAAATTTATGCTCATATGTATAATTAGAATTTCATTTTATCATTAGACATTATATCATTAGAAAATATATGTAGAACGATAAAAAAATACGGTGCTACTCCCATTTTCGGCAAACACACTGTATTTTCGAAAATTGCAAAAACTTGACATTTTGCCTTAAGACAAAGTTTGTTATAAAAATAAGCTCTTTAATAAAGGTAATGTAATTTTTTATACAATTAGTTTTGCATAATTTGTGCTTGAAATTCATGCAATGTATAGAAAAAATATTTTCTCAAATACCGCCCCAAATTTTTTCCACGGATAGAAGAACGGGCGCTTAAAAGAATGGCTCAGGTATGATTTTAAACTCTCACAATCTTCGCAAATTGCAAATTTAGAAATAAAGCGAGAAAGTTTATGACGTTGAAGCGCCAAGTTTCTTTGTGCCAGCTCATTTGTAATGGAAGCATCCCACTCTAATCTCAGGTTAACCTCTCGAACGTCCCGCACGTCGCGCACCTCCACCTCCAAGCAAGGGGCCGGGGCGGGGGCGGGCGCGGGCGGGGGCGAGGACGAGGACAAGGGCGGCGAGCTGGTGGCTGGCGAGCGCCTCATCGAAGACGAACACGTGGAGAAGGGCCGCGTCTCGTGGCGCATCTACTGGCTGTACCTGCGCAGCATGGGCACGGCCCTGGTGCTGGCGACGCTCGCCGCCAACCTCGTCTACCAGGCCTTCTCGCTGGGGTCCGGCGCGTGGCTGGCGCGCTGGTCCAACGACGCCGACCAGGAGAACCCGGTCTTCTACATCTGCGTCTACGCCGGGCTCGGCGTCGGCTACTGTGAGTACTTGCCGTGAACGCTTAGATGTTCATTTTCGCCTAGCGAGAAATTAGATGTTATTAATCGTTAATGCCCACCAATAACCAAAATATCCACGAGATAATTTACCGCTTCACATGCTGAATACGTGTTGCATATAAAACGAGTTCCTTACAAAACGTTACGTCGTAGTAAATTGTTGTAATGAATGTAGTTTCAAAAGATAAAGGTAGAATAAAGCTATCGCTGAATTCTGAGAAATGCACATCCCATAAGCTTTCACCTCCTTTTCCGTTTCACATTTGTTTGCTTAAAGGACTCATTTGGCGATCCCAGCACAGTTTGCTGGGCCGTTAAGACTACTTATATTGAAGTTTCGCAAATTAACGCAAACGTGACAGGTGTCCACTAACAAAGTGGATCAAATTCCGATTTTTCTTGAGCGTCCGCTCCGGTGGAAGATTCAAAACGTCCGTTCAGCTTCTAAGTTTCTCGGCGATACCCACGTCATTAGTTGCAAGTTTGGCGCCGTGAGGCGACAGAGCACCTGAGCTGTTTCGTCAGGTCAGGTCCCCAGACGGGTCCCGGTTCCGCCTTGGAACTATATTTTCGTAGACTCAGGGCCAACTGAGAAGGGATTGGTCCGACCCCGGCCTGAGTCCTGACCCCTCCGTCCTGACCAACCCTGAAAGCTGTTAGTCCCTACTTGGCGGGCCCCACCCAGCTGTCAAAGCCTGCGGCCGGTCGCGAGGGAATGGACTGCATTTGAATGCAGCCCATTACAACGCAACTCCAGGCATTGCGCGTTGGGTCGTTGAAGGAGTCGGGTGTTGTGTGGGTGCGCAGCTCTGGGGTCGTTCCTGTCCGGGCTGTCGCCGCAGCTGGGCGGGTGGCGCGCCGCGTGCACCCTCCACACGCGCCTGCTGCAGCACGTGCTGCGCGCGCCGCTCTCCTTCTTCGACACGACGCCCGCTGGCCGCATCGTGGCGCGCTTCAGCAAGGACGTGGACGCCCTCGACAACTCCATCCCCGGCGAGTTCGACAGCTCCGTCGCCTGCACCTTCGAGGTACTTCCCAAGCATTTTTATGGAAGAGATTTGTTCCAATGAGACAAAGTTTGAATGATTTTCGAACCCGTCTAACGCCTTTAATACTGAAGATTTCTTTTTCGATGCAATCTATTTCTCAATATCAGATCTTTAAATCAATTGGTGGCTTGATGCAAGAAGAGCCAATGTCAGTTTTTAGTGATTTTCGGTTTGTTTGGCCAATGTGTGCTTTAAAGCCCATTCTTTCAGTGCAAAAAAGATCAAATTCAAATGTTGATTCTATCTTATTTTACTATCTGTCTTTACATGGACAAATATTGTTTAGTCATTTGGCATTGGCCCTTCTTGCATGAAGCCACAAAAATGATTTCATGTATAGATTTTTTCGAAATTGGAATCGTTTTTATGTAATGTAAATGTGTTTGTTTCTTTTTGAAATGTAAAAATTACCGAATTATAGGGTGAACCTATCAGTGCTTGTACTCTGCTGTAAGCTCGTAGCTCAATAGGCAAGGGCGTAATTTCCGAAAGCTAGGTGAACAGACCTACCAAATATTTTTACAGGTTGTAAACACTTTTGGGGGTTCTACAAGTTTTTCTTTAAAGTTGATAAATGAATTCAATAGCAGAAATACATTTTCATTTGACATTTAAAATTGTTTAAAGCATTGCATTGCATTTCGTTGCATACTTTAAGTAGAATGACCGGAATTCTGTGTTAAAACGATCAACTTTGAGGAATGACTTACTATATAACAATCACAATAGTATATTTTTCGATTATTGCTTTGTATTTTCAATTGTACAATGGCAAGAAGAGTTAAGATTTGAGATATTGAATTTAATCCTGGAATAATATTTAAAAGCGCGAAACGATGTGTTGCGTAATGTATACCAAACATCTGGAGAGTTGTTTTGTACCTACTTTACTGTGCGCGAGCTGTTGATAGCCGCCACCACTAGTGCTTCGTTTTATAAAAAATGGATTTTTTTCAACATCCATTAGAAAAATACCCCTAATAAATATATATATATATATATATATATATATATATATATATAACTATTAGCAACAGTCTACAAATATTGCTTAAGTTAACATTTATGCATTAAAAGAAGGTTTGAACAGACTGTAAAAGTTTAAAGATTTCTTTGATATTGCTGACAACGATTTTGAATTATGCAAAGATCTTAATTGCAGTAGAAAGGTGGAAATTCTTGTTCTTACTTGATTAAAGAGAAAGTACTAATATAAGAATTATTGGAAAAGATGTATTTTCAGGAAGATAAGGGCCGAATAGATGGGCCAAATATGTAGTAATTTCAAATATCCACAAACTCTAAAATGTAAATATTACTCTACATAATTATATAGTAGTTAAAACGCCATGTGAAACTGATATACGGTACAGTAGATGTAATTACCAAAGTAAAATTTAACGCTCTTACTTGTTAGAAAATGATAGGTTGCGCTGCTACAATCAATGTCCTATGTACGCATGCATTTGGCATTTAGATTTCGGTAAATCCGACTTTTGGCATCTAGCGGCGATCCCAGGACTGGGCCTTGTTTTAATTATTATCAGCGCCTGGAAGCAAGGAAGACATGCTGCAAGAGTGACGTATTCCTTTCACCGTACCTAGCCCATTTGGCCTGCCCGAGCTCCCTTTCGTCACACAGCTTTAGAAACGGAGAGGATTCCATTAGAAAGCTACAACTTCATTTTGACCCCGGTCGGAAATTGAACCCGGGACTGCATTCAGAAAGCAAGCATGTGCCCATGAGCCACCCGAGGGGCTATCAATGACTTTCCAAACTGACATGTCGCGCAGAACTGATGTAAAGTGCTGATTATGGATGAAGAGTCGTGGGAGAAGGAGTTGTTGGTACAATATAACCACGTGTTAAAAAACGTCGATTTTACTGAAGATTTTGTAGGAAATTAAGTATTTTTGTAACTACGGGAGTAACGGCGAGTTATACGTTACTAGGATGGAATGTAAAATGTTAAAATATTTTATGGCAGATTCCAATTGTACAAGAAGTACAGCACAAAGTATGTGCTCTTGTAACACCACTAGTTCAAAACTTAACTCTCAAAACTATAAAATGTAAAACTCAATTATCTAGAGAACATTTTACTCACTCCGACCATTTTTGAAACTAATAAGAAAGTTCGAGGCACCAAATGATAGCATGTTTTGCTAATCGTCTTTGTCGTCTGTAAACTTCTACCTTTCTTATACTTTTATTCATTCATCACTTCGATATCCACCTCCAAAAAAGATTAGTGACATGAGGTCAGTTGGGTATTCTGGGTACATATTTACATCGCAGTCTATTATGTCTATGGTAAAGTACACTTGTGTCTATGATAGTATATACTATTTGAAAGTATTATCAACAGCCTTTCTGTCTCTCAGGTTCTGTCTATTCTACTTATCATCTGCTATTCAACGCCTATCTTTCTGGCTGCAGTAGGACCCATCCTTATCATTTACGTTCTCATACAGGTAAGATGTATGCCTTCATTAGGATCATCAGCACATTTTGTTTTACAGATTCCCATACAGCTGGAGAACTTAAATTAATTTTTGTTCGCAGCAAATTTATGTATCTACGGCAAGACAAATGTTTCGTCTTGAATCAACTACGCGATCTCCGGTTTACTCTCATTTCGGAGAAACAATTACAGGTAAGACAAAATACGTATTATATACATTAAAATATGAAATGAAACAACGTTGTACGTATGGCGCTAATGAGACGTTGAAAATTATCATTAATTTCTAGAAATCAATATGGTAAACTATTAAAACACCCTAACCCATCGAAAACGGGACGAAATTAAACTATTGCATTAAGAAAGAATAAAAATAAATGTAATTAAAATAAAATTAATCTTTAAAAAACAAAATGCAATGTGAATTGCTTTTCTTTCACTAAAATATTTCCTTTATTAAAAATTTTCCCTATCGGATTTTTCAGAGAAACACACTTATTAAAAAAAATATTTTCTATCCTGAAGTAAGTTAAACTGGCCGTGAGCTAAATAGGGCACTTCCAAACCAGATTATCTTGTCGAAGCATGGGCCTCCTTACTTTATTGCGAGAATGAAGACGTTTATTATACTTTTAAATGAACAACGGCACACTTTTGAAAGAAGTAGGCCACGCTAACACGTTCTGAAACTTTTTTTCGAAACTTTCTTCCTTTTCTAAATTCAAACAATGTCCATTGCAACTATCTCTCCCTTACCAACATCAAACAACTTTGTATCATGCTCCTTATGTTAAAATTTAACAATATAATTGCGAGAATTTGTGGAATTATGCGATAGATGTTCGTATGCACAAAAGCCGTCAAATTATTTGTTTTGATTTTTTACAGGCGCTGCTACTATCAGAGCCTTTGGGCGTCAGAAAGATTTTGAAAGAGAGTCGGAAAATCGTGTTGACACCAATCAGCGCTGTTACTTCGCAGGGCTAATGACCGAAACGTAAGTAAAATGCTCTTTTTAAATTGAAGTGCTGAGGGCAGTAACTAGATAATCCACGCTGGGCATAGCAAGTCTGCCGGGGTTCATAAATGTTAATATCTCGATTCTGGTCCCAGTGTCTTATCTTATTACCACCTCAAGCTCTTCAACAGGATGACCAGTCGTCGTTGCTCATGCAGAGTCCGGTGATAGAATACAGTAAGCGATTCATGAGTGCAAAAGGAAATAGCGTAAATCCGAATCAAATTTTTGAAGAAAAAACGTTTTTTTGTCATAGGTCATTTTTCGCACACAAAAAAAAACAACCAATTATTAAACATTGTTCCCTAATGTTATTATTGACTATTCCTGTAAGGAATATGAAAGAAGAGAAAAACAATTATTTAAGTGTTATTTAGGATAGTTTATCATATTTGTGTATACAGCCAAAATTTTGCATTTTCACCTCCTGTAACAGGAGCTCTAAAAGTGTTTAAAATGGCCTCCCCCTGCGTGAACGCAAGATGGGCATCTGTGACGCACGGTCTCCGTGACACGCTCTTTGCCAGGTTGTACCTTACTCTCTGCCGCCAATCTTTCAATGCGCCGAAGAAAGTCATCGTGATCCTCGACTTTGGGTAGCATAAACACGGTCTTTCGTTAACCCTCAGCGCAAACGAGTTTTCCAGAGAAGTGCCGAGCCCCAACGCGAGGTGAAGCCGCTCGCACACTTGCCGTAGCCCATGTCACACGAGTGCAAGCGCATTGTTGAAAGTTTAACGTTAATTACAACAAAACTAAACGACGAACAGTATCCAATTTTGGCAAATTCAGTCTGTATATTTACACATGAATAAAGTCCCCACAACGAATCACACTGTACATGTAAACTAGACATGTACTATAGTAATAAGATGGGCCACAATTTCTTCAAATTCCAGTTATTAACATGTGTGAACAGCATGAGACTTGCAGTGGTTAGTGTTACTTACGTTGTTACTGCCCCAAGCACTTCAATTACATGGATAAATATTGCATTCTTAAATACTGTTACAATACAGAACCAGTGCCAATTTTTGTGTTTACCTCAAGTCGAAATACGACATCAATTACATGGCTAAAACGATACAAATGCAGGGTGCAAATTAGCAATTTTTTCCCAAAGGGGCGAACTGGCAAAGAAAACTGACTGAAATGACTGTCTTCGCTTCACGGCATAGTCTGCAAATACTTTAAGAATTTTCTGGGAAAGCTTTTTTTCCTATTTCCTTGATTTGAACATTTCAAGTATGGAAAAAATAAATGAGGCACATAAATGTGGATTAATTGTGTCCTTGGGAAGGAAAAGTATTATCCTCCTTCAAGAAAACAAATCATTTAAAATAATTTTCTAAAATTTGTCCTGAAATACTATAATTGAAGTATGAATATATCACTTCCTTGTCACTTTAAAAATTAATGCGAGCTCCAAGTTTTTGTTTGTTCCTCAGCCGGGGTATTCCGAGCGTCGCATCCACTAGCTCTGCTGATGAGAAAGTGGTTCACCCAGGAATCTCGGAATTGAAGTCGCCGGACACAGGAATCCCGAGAATTCTCGAAAAATATTTCTCCACTCTAGGATCTGTGTGGTATTTTAGTTAGTACAAATTATGAAACATGAAACATGTGGGATATAGGCAAACATTCTTCATTATTTGTACAGCGTCAAGAGACTGCGTGAACTAAAAAAAATACATTTTTTCTTGTCTATTATTTTACGACTGGGTTATGTTTTAGAACAGCGCATCCATGGCTGGAGATGTTGGATATAAATTAAAAATAACATTGTGGGTCTGCAGCAGCAAAAGTCCTGCTGAACAAAACTGCTCGATTGATTTTTCAAAACTTAGCATGCACACAGCTCAAGAACAACAATTATAATACTATTTTGACACTGATATAAATTCAACCTTTTAACAAAAACAAATCTTTACAAATACTGCAGTAACAAAGTGGAGTATATATTCGTATACAACAGTTATTTGCATACTAAGATCAACAAAAAATACTGTTCCAAAACGCAACACGTAAATAGCACTCATTTAATGGCTGTTGGCCTCTACTTTGAAACCTTGATGTGGCATGACTTAAGCTGTAATCAGTATATGATCATTCATTCGGTGTGAGCAGTATGAAAATAGGTGGAATAAAACTATCAAATATTTGTTGATGTGTTTTCAGTCACAGTCGAAACTCTTTCGCTGTTTCTGGGTATCTAACGAAGACATCTCTCTCGTGGTTGAAGGCTGCATAATTTTCTTTCAATTTCTGCTTCCATTGGATTAATGGATCGATTTATTAATGGATTATCTTCAAGTTAACAGCTATGGCCATAGTCTGTCGAGTCATAATTTAAAACAGCAACGCAGACTGTAGAAAAACGGAAAGGAAACCTTTGCGAGTGCAACTATCGCACAGAATAAAACTACTTTTATAATTTAAAATTGAGTCGTAAAGGTGTCATTAAAAAGTTTATTAAAAAGAAGTGCAGGAATCGCAAAAAATAAATAATTCAAGACTTAAAACTGGTTATGTAGAAGCCAAATAACATGACAACGGAAAACGACCGATAGAACAGCCGGCCGCTAGAATTCTCATTCAGAATTCTCCTTCTGAATTCGACCTAGCTATGAGACTAATGTCGAAAATACTCTCACCGTCGGTATTCATAGCTCTGCAGTGACATCTCTTGATGCCCTGAGCTACCGAAGCCGGTACGTTTATAATGTTAAGATACCTTTAGTTTTGGTTCTTTTGAAATATTTTCCTTACTTTTATTTATAGAAGTTTCTTGCACTCGCTCGTTTCCACCTTCAACAAATTAAATGTTTGGTTTACTTCTGCACATACGTCTTTTATGTAAGAGCTCATTTCTCCAACCACTTTTACCCTGAATCCCCTTGCATGCACAACATAACCCGTCGCTCTGGGCCGCAGATGGATGGAGATTCGCGTGGAACTGGTGGGCAACATGGTGGTGTTCCTGTCCGCGCTGTTCGCCGCCCTGGGGCGAGGCCAGGTCAGCCCGGGTCTCGTGGGCCTGTCGCTGAGCTTCGCCCTGCAGGTCACCGGCATGCTCAACTGGCTCGTGCAGATCATGTCCCTGCTGGAGAAGAGTATCGTGTCCGTGGAGAGGATCGAAGAGTACTGCAATGTGCCTCAGGTACAGAATGACGTCAGCAGGACCGGGTTATAAAAAAGAACGTTCGCGAGGTCCCTGGCACTACTTAACTATTGGTGCTACAAGAGCACATTCTTTCTTGCAATTACTACAGAAACAAGCAAAATATACCGGTAGAATTAAAATTCAAATCGGAAATAATTGCTACGAAAGACATTACCGTTTTAATTGCTTTATTTGTGGCCGAATATAACTATCCTATGTTTTCCCCCTGACGGAGTTGTGCATAAGTGGTGTGGGGTAACAATGTACCCCCAAAATAAGTATTTTTCCGGTTTTACGGATGAATCTCGTAAAGGACTCAGAATATCGAAAACATGGTCTCATTGAAAGTTGAAGGGCATTACATTCTCCATTGATTGAGACCAGACGCATTTTTTTGACCACTCGGTCCCATACTAGAGCTTATCAAAGTTGGAAAAATTGTTGTTTTGGTTTCTCTTTTTCGTAATATCATCTAAATTAACCCATCTCTTAATTAAGCGATCCATGCAAAAGTTATAAAGGAATAAATTCTGCGTTTAATGAGACCAAAAGTGATTTTTTGGACCACCTGTTTCCGAACAGCACCACCTTTAAAGTTGGACCATTTCTTAACATCAATAAAGACTCATCAATAAACGATAAACTGCAGTTCAATAAGTATTATTTACACTATATTAAACATGTAGTGTAGCAATCCGTTGTACTAGTCTTGAACTGAGTAAATACTCGTGAAGTAAACTCATGGTTTATGTTTGGAAGGCGCTTTTTTCCAGGGTTATGAACTGCAATTACAGGAGTGTGTTTTCACCATTTTGGAAACCGTGTTGCAGGAGGCTCCGTGGGAGCGCCCCAGCACGCGGGACCTGTCCGCGTGGCCCGAGCACGGGGAAGTATGCTTCGACAACCTGCAGCTGCGCTACCGCGAAGGCCTGGAACTCGTGCTGCACGGCATCACCTTCTGCGCGCGACCCGGGGAGAAGGTAAGGTCGCGGGGACTCGACTCGACTCGGCTCGACGCGGCCATGATTCGTTCACAATTAGGAGATTTACCACAAGATGTAATTAGAGGCCGAGGGCTACAATTATAATGAAGGGAAAACGACCATAATAGTTCCAGAAAATATATTTGAAATATTAATCTATGAAATTTAAAATTTGTGTCACGTGACTAGAGTTTGTTACCAAGGAAACTGTCGATAAATAACCACGCGTTTCATGGAGGTCATGGCTGAACTTAAATGCATATCTGATACTACCAACTATTGAAACTTTAACGCCAAAAAGTATAAGAAAATGTTTAAATAGCAAATTGGCAGCTTACAGAAAATTTAAATATTAGTGTAAAGATAAAGAATTATCAAAAATAGATGAGAACGTTATGCTGGCGTATTTTGGTGAGGAAGCAAAACAGTACAAATGAGTTGTTTTTCACATTGTATTCAAGTAGTTAAAATTTTTACTCATGTGTGTCGTTTACTTTTAATGTAAGGTAAACAAGGGAGAAAACAATTTAATCCGTAGAGAGTAAATAATATCTTCATAGGGAGCGAATTCTTTACTTTAATCCCTCATTTTCTAACAACAATATTCACTTTTTCTCGTGGAAAATAGTTATAGTACGAGTGGTAAATGTGAACCTTTCTTTTGCGAGTAGGAAAGGTTGCGACACGACGCTGATAAGTAGTGGCGCAATCATACAAGTAAAATAAATTCACTTTTACCATGTGTGTAATAGACTGTTTTTTTAGTCACCCTTACTGAATTTCATTTTGTTTTTATTCAAGTATTCAAATCACTTAATAATACATTACGGTCAGAACTGGACGATGCGGTCAGATGAAAGTATTATATTTTCTCTGTCGCATTTACAGATTTCTCTGAACACTTTAGCATCGTCTCACTTAAAACTAGGGCTAAAAATTGAACTTTCATCACGCTATGTATGACCCGAAAGAACAGCTTTTAGTAATGGTTGTCCCAAAAAACTTAGTTTTATGTGAAATAATCTTTATTTCTGACATGATATGATTTGCCAGTTGGTAGCAGATGCATTATTATTTCATGGACGGAGGTTGCCATTTAATTTCATGCAATAATATTGTTAATAAATTAATTTTTATAATATCCATTTTCATGAATTTAAAATCAAGAATGAACAATTGTTTTATGTAACTTGAATATCGTCGTTTATTGGGTAGCAAATGAAGTTGCAAGAAATTAAATCGCCCTCTTCTGTACAAAACGGAGATTTGCGTTACAAAAGTATAAGCGACGCACGGCACGGTGCGACACATCACGATACGGCACTGCTCGATACGATACGAGACGATACGATATGATACGACTTCACATGGGCTAAACCAGATTTCATGCTTAGCGAAAGAAACAGCATGTAGAATTACAACATGGAGACGAAGGGACGTGGCTGCAGCCGGATCGCAGATAAAATTTTACTTTAAAGGCGAAAACCATTACTTTTGGACCCATTTTTAAAAGGAGTCGAAACATCTAGTCGGACGATTACAAATTTGATTCGATTTAAAAGCCAACAGGTAAAAGAGAAAAGGCCGTATTTGAGCTGGACATTTTTCGTAATCATTAATGGAGACAATATAAGTCTCGACAGACCTAACGTATTTCATAAGCTTGGTGCAATTTTCAATATTCTATATTACTTACTTAATTGTATCAGTACATAGTGCAATAAATCAATTTTTCTATTTACTTTTCGACTTATGAAGGTTAAAATCATTAACACTCGCCACATTAGCTCTAAATCGTTAGTTTCTGATTCCACTAGATTCTGATAAACTACATAACTGAGGCCAATTCAACGTTCGATCATTAGTATGTAACATTTTCCTCACCTTGCACATCTGGACGTCCGACTTAGTTCTCCAATCCTGCGTTGTTCGGCCAACGTCTTGACTCGTTCACAACCACCGAAACACTAGCACTGCCCGCGTTATCAGCTACTTTCGTTCTCATGGCTCGCGAACCGCAACTCTGTGCGATCTACACAAAGTGCGGTCTTCACGAAGATTGATTCGAGTGAAATAAAATTGGAAACGTTGTACATATTTTTTTGCAGATTCCGTTATTTTTACAAAATAAAAACAATATATAACAAATTAAATAAATAAATAAATATTGTGAATGTAGTATACAATAAATGTAGTCAAACTATTTGGGAGGGGGATTTAAAAAAAGAAAAGAAACTTTTAAAAATATGAATTTATTTATGATAATATTTGTTTAATTTATACATTTATTTCGATTTTTATATTTTCATTCATTAACAGTTCGAAAATATTGTATCGAACAGTAAAGAATATTTTTATTAATATTAGTTTCAAATTCGGTTACATATAATATTATTTTCTACAAAATGCAAGTATTGCTTATAGCATTTTTTAAATAAACCGGCTGTTCTGACTCAGTATTGTCTCTTACTCTGCAGTGACCCTGACCGGGATATCCTAGAGTTCAAGTCCCGACGATGGCAGGACTTTCAACACTAACTATATAGCTGTATCGAATTCAGGCGTTGTCTAGAGGAGAATTGTAGCGACCGGTTGCTCTGATCCGTCTTTTCCGTGATTCCACCGATCAGTATCAAGCGAAGGACGGAGCAGTACCATAAACAATGCGCAAGGATTGCGGACGATCTTTCTTTCCTCTTCCTTGCCCTTCCCTCTGTCAAAAAACACACCTACACATACCATACTGCGATTTTCGCGACCCTGCCCCTGGAATGTATCAGCTGTTGACAGTTTCATCCAATCGGGAACTTGAATCGAATGAAACCATCAACAGTTGATACCTGCCAGGAACAGAGTTGCATAAATCGCAGTATACACTGCCACTCTATTTGGGAGGCCAGATGTGAGCTTAGAGCTTCTCTCGTCTGTGCGGGGGCCTCCCGGGGAGAGACCAGGAGGAGAAATCAGCAGGAAGCTGACGTGTATGTCGGCGCCGGATCTCACCATCCAGCGAGGGAGGATCACTGCCACCACCCGGGATAAAATAACAATCACTATACAAACGGAACTAATGACCATATCAGTTAGGGTACCCAGAAACATAAAATATTAATAGCAACTGCTTTATAATGTTGTTTTGTTGCATACGCATTTAGCGATATGTTTGTAGGCGTACTCTTCTTTGGACAAGTGTATATTTTGAACTTTACTCTAGTTCAAAGATCTAAGATTTTGCAACACTGATATTGCCTTATTGAAATATGACTTCAATGTGCTGAAATAATGCCGTATTTATGTCCAAAGAAAGTTTTGCCATTGGCATTTATGACCAAGAAATTCACTCGAGGGACCTTTGCCGCCAGCTGAGAAACCGATGCCGGCTTCTTTTACGAGCAATAAATCATCGATTCACGTCCTGTAACTTTCTATCCCCTCCGCAGTAAGCCGTCCTAGGAGTAGGATTAAATCGTGGAAAATACAGACTATTGCAGAGCTTCATAATTCGTTTAAAAACAAAATGTAATTGAAATATGCTTTATTGACACGGGATATTCACAGTAACGCTAAACATTACGTTACGCACGTTTTTTTAAATACTGAACTAAAGTTCACCAATTTATAAATGCATGTTATTAGATATTATTAAATTTAGGTATTATTAATTATTATTAAATTTAGATATTATTAAATTTATTATTATTATTATTATTATTATTATTATTATTATTATTATTATATTATATTATATTATTTAATTTAGATATTATTAAATGTAATTATTATTTAATTTCTTCTCAAAATATAGATAAAAGTAAATCTTTAATTGGATTGTTGGTGAGGTAGATACCTTTTTATTATGATAAATAAATAAAGATATTGTCTGGTATCAATATTGATACCAGATATTGATTGATATTGACAGATATTGACAGATATTGATACCAGACAATATCTTTATTTATTTATCAAAGTAAATATTTTATAAATATAAGTAACATAAATTTGAAGAACAGCGAAACGAAATATTTTTTTAAAATTTGTCCCTCCATTGGGGAGGTGGCAGTTGCCCCCCTTGGCCTTCTGAATCCCGCCTCTGACGAAGTCCGCGGGTCGTGTGTGTAGGTGGGCATCGTGGGGCGCACGGGCGCGGGCAAGTCGTCGCTGACGCTGGCGCTGTTCCGCCTGGTGGAGGCGGCGGGCGGCCGCGTCACCATCGACGGCGTGGACGCTGCGCAGCTGGGGCTGCACGCGCTGCGCTCCAGGCTCACCATCATCCCGCAGGTACCCCAACCAGCTTTTCTAAATCTTTTTTTTTTCTTCTTCGTGACTCAGGGCATCAACTGATGGCACTGCAGTGTCTCTGACCGACAGGTCCAAGGCCATTAGCTACATAGCTAGGTCGAATTCAGCCTCTGTGTGAAGGAGAATTCCAGCGACCGGCTGCTCTGATCGGGAGCTTTTCGTTGTTTCTCCGGCCAACAACAAGCGAATGACGGAACAGTACCCTAACAAACGGACCACGGACCGCGGGCGATCATTCCTTCCCCTTCCTTGTCCTATCCTCACCACTTAGACACACACACACACACACACACACACACACACACACACACACATGCTGGGGGTCTACTTACAGACTGCCGGAAAATCGCCGCAAGCTGACGTAGGTCGGCGTGGATCTCGCCACCTAGCGGGGGAAGATTGCCGCCACCTCTCCTTATAAAACATGAGCTATACTTACGGGACCTTAGCAGTTGATGGGCCCAGAATCACTAACCAATCAATCATTTTTTAGTGACTTGCAGTGGCCTTGACGCCTCTGCAGCGGCGACCTGCCCCCAAAAAATCAGTCACGAGAAACGTTGAAGGTCCTGATAATCTAGCAATAAATTACAACCACCGCATGTCGTGAGGACGAACATATTTTCGAGTTTCCGCATAAGCGAATTTTGGTGTGAGAATCGTACTGTTTGGATGGGTGAGGTTATGAGATAGTTGAAGTGCGATTTTGTAGGGAAGGCACTGTGTCTATTAACTAAGGTAAGAATATTAACCTTTTCATTTGATATCGAAAATTAGTTTTCTTTGTTGCAAATATTTTATTTTTCCTCCATTCTCCTGAGCAGATCTGTATCGTCTGTTATTAAAGTAAAAGTTGTCTAAAATAAGGATTTTAAATTCACTGCCTGCAAATCGCTCGATCACTTCTTCTTGTGGATTGCCCTCATTCAAGAAATATTCTCAAGAGACAAAATGCATGCGATTGTTCAGACACGTATGTGTTTTCCATATCCCGCAATCCAGTGGTCTCCACTAGTAGTTAACATTTGGCGCGACCTGTTGTGTTGTGGTCAGGCCTTTTCGCCTTCCGTCTCTGGATGTAAACGAATGTACGTTGTAAAAGATTTGGAAGATGCAATTGAGATGAAAAGAAATGATGATTGTATCGGTTGTTACGAATCTACTGAATCCAATGTTCCCGCAACCGCATATGCACAGATGTTCATGTGCATACTCCGCCTGCGATCATTTGTGCATATAATTCACAGAATTTCACAAATAATTCACCAGCAGCTGTATTGCCACTCACTAAACGTCGCTGTCCGTTAACATATCTCTTGAGGTAATTTAAATAATTCCCTTTAAGTTCAAACACAAAGCACATCTCTTGAATAACACAAATCTTACAACCAGAATCAGTCGGCAAATGTTACCTTCTCCGCTTCCACAGATATCTTCCTTACTTTAGAACCACCGATGAACTTGCAGAATTACCTTCCCCAATGTTTCGCCAAACTTCCAATACCCTGAAGTCGCTACTAATTGGGTTTTAAATAAGTTTTCCACATGAATATTTAACCGGCCTACATTCCACTGTCAATACTGTCGTGAACTCAACCCAACTCGTTTATCTATTTCGCGACCATGGTAACCGACGCCCATCCCCCATTCTTTACCACGAGTTCATACAACGCTACCGAGCGATGTGGCTCAGGGCGTAACGCGCTGCCTTCGCATTTCGGAGGCCCGTGTTCATTCCCCGACCGGCTATCCTACCGGAATATCCCTGAGTAATCCAGGCGATTGCTGGGATGGTTCCACTGAAAAGCCACGACCGCTGCTAGCCGAATCCGTTAACTAAGTGAAGTCACAAAGTTTAAACGGATACGAGTAATTGCGGGTTCCTGGTTGGGTGACCGACTAGGAACCCCGAGGTCCAGCGGCGCTGAGACCAATTGCCCGTTACGGGACAAACATATGTACAACTCGTCCAAAAATTATATTTTCACATCGTCACATCAGTATGCAACCTGTTCATCGCTTTCCTTTCCGCAGGACCCTGTACTGTTCTCGGGCTCGCTGCGCCTCAACCTGGACCCGTTCGAGCGTCACGCGGACGCCGAGCTGTGGCGCGCTCTCGAGCTGGCTCACCTGCGCGCCTTCGTCGACGCGCTGCCCGAGGGGCTGAGCCACGAGGTGTCGGAGGGCGGCGAGAACCTCAGGTAAGACCAGCGCCGATTTCACCAGTCGGGCTGGCCCACACACTTGCAAGCGTGGCGTGTACCCTTTGTAACTATGTCACCGCTTTATCGTTCCCACAGGCTGGTCTATTCTGTATGTTGCTACCGCAATGCTTCCACAGATTGATCCACTCTGAATGATGTCACCCCCCCATTGTTTCAAGAGTTTGTTCCACTCTATAAGTTGCTGCTGCATTGTTCCTACATTTTGATTCACAGTGGGAGCAATACGATGGTGACGGTTTACAATCAGCAAAAGCCAGACTTGCAAGTCTCTCTTAGAGACCAGAAGAAAATTTAGTCAATATTTGTGCAGATGAATTTAGTTTCTGGAATAGTTCTGACATATTTACTTTCATTCGCACAATTTCGCAGATACGTCATTGTTTAAATGTATAAGGGATATGTCGTTTTACTCGCTCCCAAATGACTCACGCAGTTTACACAGCGTTTTGACGAAGAATAGTGGGCAGAAATGCAGTTTCTGATACGATTCGTTCACTCATGCTGTCGATTTTGAGAATGAGTCACTCGCGGCGCTGCTACAGTGTGCGTGACCGGTGCACTTTCCGGCGGAAAGTGACGCTTTGCTACGCAGTTGATGACGAGGGTCGGGCGTCGCATTAACATAGAACATCCTTGAGTGTTTCCAAAGCATAATTACCAACTCATTTTAGGCAAATTTGCCATAAAAATTATTTGATGTGTATATTTTCCGTACGCACGCATGAACGAATCGTATCGCAAACTTTATTTCAGCGGAATATTTTTGTGATAATGTCTTTCATGTTATTTTTGTTCGAGCAGCGTGGGTCAGCGTCAACTCGTGTGCTTAGCACGCGCTCTGTTGAGGAAGACCAAAGTTCTTGTATTGGATGAAGCGACAGCCGCCGTGGACTTGGAGACTGATGATCTTATTCAGGTGAGATTCATTTCATGGACTTCTTTCATGACTTTGGTTGTATGAAAGAATTGAAAAAATATTGTTGTATAACACGTATTGTGATTACTTGTTCCTCGTTGACTAATATCTCATAAAAAATTAACATAATATTAAATTTTAGTTCAAAATTTCATTTAAATATCTTAAGAGTGGTTTAGTTATCATTATAAATATCCGTTAATTCTTATGTTTCTTTTTACATAGAGGACCATTCGAAGCGAATTTGCTGATTGCACTGTTCTCACCATCGCCCACAGAATCAACACCATCATGGATTGTGATAGGTAAGTGAACTATAAACAAATAATAGTCAAATCCATTGATAGAAATTGCCCATGATAATTTACGGTGAAACAGAAGTACATTCGTAATAAATGCATTATGATATAAAAACATACCTAGCGGAAAAAAATTAATACACATTCAGAGGAGGCTTAATAACACGCCTTAATTAATAAACTTTCGCAATTCACATAGTTTCCGGGTTGATCAAAGATTAAAGACGTGAAGAGTGGATTTCTTCGTTCATATATCTTTACTTAGAATCTTCATCGTAAATATCAACTTTATATTTTAGTGGCGAAAATGGGATCTTCAGTGGCAGTGCATTTTTCTTACATATCTTACAATTATTATTCCTTGTGATAACTTTTACTTGACAAAACACTAATATTTAATGGCAACCAAACCGGTACCGGTGTACACAAATCACAATTGAAACGTACTTATCAAAGAAACCCGTTAACCGTAGTTTGATAAATCTGAACGTTCAAACATTTAGACATAGATTAACCTTTTTTAAAAATGATTCCATAATAGAGCACGAGAAACAAGAGACATGCTAGAATTATGAACTTAACGTTTTGTATATAAAACAGAATGTCTTTGAAGGAGGTTCGACGTAATATATTTTGTGGGTTCAAAGTGCGTTCTTTTTGGAGTTCCTTTTTCCTGCGAATGCGTGTGTTCACACATACTGCGAAATCGTTCGTGAAAAGGAAGTAAATCTGGTGTATATGGTTTGGATGAGATTTCCCTTTTCTTGTTTTATAACCAATCAATTAACTTTGTGTAGATGGAATTCAGAACTCACAAGAAATATTTATTTTTTACTGATACGTATCGAAAGCTATAGCTTGCCTTCGATACGGAGCTCAATATGCACTGCATAACTTGCCTTGATCGCAGGGATCGAGATTACCAGGGAAATATAAAAACAGTTGAATGGCGCCACATGTTCTCTTATGGAAGGAATTATGAGAGAGAATAATGACAGGGAATTATGGGAGAGAAATATGAAAAGACTAACCGAGTCAAGTTAATATCTAGTTAATCAGTAAATAAGTAAATCTGAATCAATAAAATTAGGAAAAAATAAAATTATGTATGTACCACGGACGTAAATAGTTCTTATGATTTCGGGCGACAAAAAGCCCTTGAGCCTAAGGCCCTCTGGCATTTTGGCGCCGCTCGATCATTAGAACCCTTATAATGAGGTCGGTACAGAAATAACCATTTCATGTGACGAATGTATCCGGACCACTTGGTTTAGTACGAAACTAAAATTTTATTTGTCCGCAGGGTATTAGTTCTGAGTCAAGGTCGAGTGGTTGAGTTCGACTCTCCTTCGGCCCTACTGAGGCGGCCGGATTCTACCTTTTACGGAATGGCCCGAGACGCGGGGCTGGCATGAAGCAGTGAGGGCGACCCGTGGGTGGTTGCACATTCGAAGTTTCGGAAGAGCAGCTCGGACGGCCGAGGTCGGCAGGCGGCGGGGCCGCAAACCCCGAGCTGCCCGAAGCCCGGACTGGAGACTCGACTTCCTGGCGAAGACCGCGCGTGCGGCCGTTCGACCTCATCTGCATTGCCTCAACTGCGGGCCAGACGGTGGAATGGACGACTCGAGAAGCAGTGCAAGCTCATCAGGCGACGATTCGATCTCTTACGAATGTAATCGTATTCATCACGAACTTTAGTTGCTTTAAAAAAATAGAAAGATGTCAATCAGGGAACTATCCTACCTCACTTTAAAGATTATTCGTTTCCAATCTATGAGATTTGACGCCTGCAACAGTATTATTTTAGTTGTTTTATTATTTAATGTTTTATACTTTTATATGTATTGTTGCATGGAGTGATGTATAATTTTTGTTATAAATAAATAGATCGTTCGTGGTGAAAACTGTCGTGGTGAAAACTATTTTTTTAAATTTAATGTGACAACCTCATCCCAAGCTGTCAGGAAACTACACTCATACGCGGTGCTCAGCAAGAGGTATTGGAAAGGGTTCTAACACCATCACCTGTGAGCTACTGGTCAATATTATGCGAATTAATCAAACAAATATATACATATTGACAATGTGATCATAAAGCTGTTCAGCCCGTAAGTTGCGTTTCAGTCGCTGGTAAAGCTGTGATTCTTTTCTTCCTTATTCAGTGCGTAAATATGCCGTGACTCAAAGCAAAACAATTCATTGGTCGTAACAGCATTGTTCACAGACGAATGCGTTTTCATGTTTGTGACTGGTTAAGCAAGGATCATTCTTTCTCTACTCTTATCCCGACTGCAGAAGTTGATTGTGTAAACCATTTACTGAGAATCATGATTAAGGAATGAGAGGAACCAGAATTACTGAAATGCTGCAGTGGGTGGAAAAGTTTCATCGTATTTTTCCTTGAAGATTTCTTGTCCTATCTGTCCTAAGAGTTGAACTTCGTCTTTCACCTAATCATCGTTGCTGAAGTGTATGCAACCACTTGTGGACGTTTTTGACATCCATACACTTCTTTCAACAATAAATTTCAGTAGGTTTCACTCCTTTTGCGATCAAAGACCGAATAACTGCGAGAACTCGCACTCGGCAATAGAGCCAAACGGGAGCACTATTACAAACGACTTCCAAGTGAAGAGTGTGTCCCAGACAGGTGCACACCCTTTTTTGGGAGTGGGGAGAGCAATTAACACAACAATGTTTTCAACGCCTGAAATAATAGTTTCCTGGCGACCTCACCACTTTAAAGTCCTTACTTTGGGTTTACTCTCGTACATACGTATTTACACGAAAGATCCAACCAGAGACAATATAATAAAAATTCAACTTCTTGAGAAACTTGGACAGTGATGAAGATGGAATAGATAAGCTCTCGTAGAAGCAGGTAAAATATTCCCAAAAGAAAATACCCGAAAGAAAAAAATTACTGAAAATGAGTTTTTTCTAGTTCATAATCGAGTTGTTTTTACTTTCTCGTATAAGTGGAGTGCCGTTTTCACAGTAACATCCAGGCATATTGTGCACACTAACGATATTATTGATCCTAGAAGAAAAGCACACTTAAAATGTAGGCAAATGTAGACAAGGCCTCTTTCATTTCAGGTTAGGTTAATATTTACGAAAAATTGATAGTGTTTAAGTTATATCGAGATAAAGTGGGATAGTTCCCGTTTTTTCATGTGTTTCGCTTACATCAAATTTTGGGGTGCTCACACGGCTAAACCGTTAATTAGAGAAAACATCTTAATGACATGAAATGTAGGTTATTTTATCTTTTATTTCATAGAGGATCATTATTTACGAAAAATAGGTGGCTTTTGAGTTGATTTTTATATTGAAAAAAGGCGTGATTTAAAAAAAGATCTTTAAAATAACGTGTCTCTGGGAAAAATCTTTGTTGGCAAACCTTATAACCGTATTGAGCAACCCAAAAAACATATAGAAAACACAAAGTGAAACATTTCTTTATTCCAAGCTCTTTTAAGATTCTCTTTGTTCGTCCTTACGATCAAAATTCAAGCACAATTAATCCTAGACTAGCGTACCCGTGCGACAACTCTCGCATGTTAAACCCCACCTTAATTTTTCTAAAGGGTATCGTAAAACTGAAACATATGGTCCGTTTCCATCGTAGTTCCTTCCACAATTAGGTACACAGCACTTGTAGACAACAGTAAAACGTTAAAAGAATAGTTGCACTTCACGCGTGCGCACAAGAAAAGTCTTCACCGGTAACAAGCAACTATTAATACTCGTAAAATTTCTAGTTGTTGCTGCGAGAGCGAATCTTGGATTAATAATTATGCAAATAAACTTCGTCTGTCCGCGCAGCACCATAGTGTTAACAGAAAGTGTAACTAGTATAAGATGGAGGAATCTAAGTCTGACGGCACAAAGATGGCCACCAGCACCATGGGCTGAAATATAGGTCATGAAAAATATATTCTATATTCCTCCTTGTGTATAGGTGGTTTGGTAGTATCGATAAGCACCAAACCGGCAAACTATTGATAGAATGTCGAAAAATATCTCATCCTCTAGATTACGGTATGAGAAAAGTTTAGATTTTAATGCCCTAGAACGCATTGTTTAGGAGTTATTAAACGAATACCTGACCGAGTGCTCCGGGTTGCGTTTGACAGGAAGAACATTTAGATGCGTTTTTTAAAAACAAATCTTTCATATTTTTAAGTTCAAGTTTAATTCATTACGTCTTCGTGAAATTCTCGTTCTTTATAGACCTCATTTATAAAGATTGGTTGCATGCGAGAGCCACAAAAGTTATGTATACTATTGAAATAATGTAGGAGACTATATTCGAATCTACCTACTTCCCGTTTTCTTTCTCATCAGCGCATGGTCCGTCGCCAGTTGCTAGGATACCATTATATTTACATTCTAACATCAAGCGAGCTTGCTTTTCTCTGTGATACATTTCTGTCACCCTGCAATCTGAATGTGCTCATCATCCTTAAACTCGTAATTACAAACGTTTTAATTAAAAGTTCGTATTTAAAAACGTGAGTGACTCGTGTTATGATACCCCATTAACATATGTCGTGATACCTAATTATCCCACGGTTTCAAAATAATGTTTGCCACTTAACTAGCAATTTTGAATAAATAATTTTAAAAAAATCAGAAAACCACAATGGCTATGACAACGAATACTATCCCAGTTTTGGAACCACGTTTCATTCTGGGCCTAAAAACGGGCGTAAAGAAAGGAGTACAGTTTGTATCAGATTCAGAAGTAATGTATCCAGCTGGCAGAGTCTTGATATTTCATAATTTTGCTCTGATAAGGCAACGATACATATATCATTCTCAAGACTCCATTAAAGATATATCATGTTTGGTTGTTTCACCAAACAGGTATGTTGTACAATAGATTACATCATAAATAAGTATAGAAAATAATTACTTCCATTTTTCACATATTGCTTTATTAACTTGGATAATTTCTTTAATTCAGAGATGTCTTAGCTGTTGCCGACAAAGGAGACGAAAATGAAAAACCTTGTATAACTGTATATGATAGTATCACTCTCAAACGCAAGAAGGTTCTTTCACCCCCGCCAGACTCAAAAGCACTAGAATTTCAGCACATGTACTTCACTCATGACAACAAATTTCTAGTGGCTATTCTAGGAGAACCAGAATGGACCATGTTGTATTACAACTGTGACAAAGGAAAAGTTGAATCATCTTATAAAGATTTTAATCCTGAGAACCCAGGCCCTGTATTGGAGGTAGGATTCCAAAAATTGGAGTTACATTTCAATCTTCCACTGCAATTCATTATTAAAAATATTCATTATGTAAACATTATCTAATGCTTTATTAAAATTCTTGGAAAATATACATTTGTCAATTTTTGTCCCCTCCACAATAAAAAATGCTATACAGACAAAAATTTATAGAAAGAGTTCTAGAAAGTTATAGAAAGAGTTCTAAAGTTATAGAGAGAGAGGGATTTTTTTTCTTCCTTTTTTTCATTTTATTAAGCCTGTCATAATTAATGATAAGAAAAAACGTTTTCATTTTACTTCAAACTTCAAGAACATGCTTCATAATTCATGAAATAATTTGAATTGACAGATTATGTTTAATATTGGAAAATACTGATGAAGAGAAAATGATTTTTCAATATACAAAATGAAAATTTGGATTTTAAGAATACATTCATATTTTAAATTAATTATTATTTAATATGGCATACCTAATAATATAATTGTTTGGTGATGGAAATAGCTATGGTTGCATTTTATTGTGAATTTATCTTAAGTTAATTTTTCAAAAAACTAGATATATCAAAATATCCTTGCCTCACATTTTTTGAAAGGGGGGGGGGAGTACAATCAGTTTTATTATTTGCTATAAATATGAATTTAACACTCAATACTTCTGGTTATTTTAAGAATACTAGCAACTCAGAGAAATTCATCATGCTGTTTTGTACAAATTTGATGCAAATACATTTAATCAGAGTTTTAATACATGCAGTTTCTCACCATGCCTCACACTATTTCAAAAATATTTGCGTTAGCCAACTTAAATGATCCACCCAAATACCGTTGTATGTCTATTATGTATTCTTGTTTGTGTCTTCAGATTCTTTCTCTTGTTCTAGCAATTTATGTACAAGTTTTCATTGATCCCTGCCATGCAAGCCTATTGGCTTAGAATCTGAGGGTTTGCAGCAGCAAAAATACTTATTTCCACATACTTGCAGCAGTATTTTTGCTACTCAAGGAGCCCATTTTCCACTCTTGTCGGCACCATTTTTGCTGCTGCTGGCAACCAGTAATTTAATAAATAAATGTGCAGGTTTTGCCGAATCCAACTGATGCAACAATCGTGTGTGTGGTTGGACCTGGACTTTTTCGCCTACTTGGATTATCAGAAAACATGTGGAGACCGTATGGATTTTCCAAATCAGAGAAATATCCATTGACTAGTTCATGTTGGCTTGGAATAGACAGAGTTCTTGCTGGAACTGAAGATGGACATCTCCTTTTGGTGGAATTTGGAGAACTTAAAGTGGTGTATGAAGCTAAAGAGCTAGTAGAAATAGATTTAAAATCAAAAGACCTTGAGTAAGCTAATTTTTCTAAGTTTGTGATAAAAATAATTAAATGGAGAATGAGTAATATTTTAAAGATTCCTTATGTGGGTATTGTTTGTAGAGAAATGCCACCACCACTCTTACGTACCGAGGAGTCACTTACAACACTTCCAAGTGAAGAGAAATTGCATCTTCAGATACGAGAACTTATTGCATTCACAAGGGGGTTTGCTTTTGTTATGGGAGTTGGAACAGTAATTCTTTTTGAAAAAGAAACTAATCACAAGTATGTGAAAAGAAATGTGTTTAAATTAGATGTTTTGTCAGAAGACGATGCTCCAGCCAGTGACGAACAAACACTATTAGATCCAGCTTACAACTCTATTCAGACTCTTCAGATTAATCCTGGTGAAACTACTTTGGTTGCAACAACAGGTAGATCACAACTATATTCAGTAACATTGTGGGGTCCAACACTTCAACAGGTAAGAGTATACAAGAAACTTAATTTATTTTTACTATTATACTTATATATAAACTTTGCAAATTGGTACTGGAAGAGTATACAATTTTGCAACATGTTTACTCTGGCAAGTCAAACAGATTTTTTTGGCACTACTTAACACACAACTTAACTGACTGGCACTACTTAACTGGTACTACTTAATGGCACTACTTAAGAAAATGAGTGATGATTAGAAATGATCAACTCATCCTTCATTTTTTATGACGATCCTTTGTCTTCAATAAATCTATGAAATAAAAATGAGGAAATAGATGTAATATTAAATGACATAAGATTACATTAAATTTTAAAACGATCAGATGACTGTAAAATAGAGTAAATATTATGTACTTTGAATATTGAATTGATCTCATCTTGATAATGATTCTATAGAACATACATTATGGAAATTGCAAAAGTAGTATGAAATGCAATAAATAAGACATACATTGCATTACAAAAAAGAAAATCAACATTTAATTTTTTTACACTGTTCAATGGAATATGTTGAAGGAATAAAACGCATGAATACTCCATATTTTTATTAATCTTTTATTAGATTTCAATAAGATAATAAAGGCACAAATAAAGAAATCTGTTTTTACATTTTAATTCATAATATTTTCAATGAATGTCATAATGCATACTTTCAAAGACTAACACCTTTTCTTTTCTAATTACTGTATAGTTTATTAGAGATAAATCATTTAATTTTGATTGTTAATGTAACATTCTTCAGAGTTACAGGAAGTATACAAATATGTAGAGCAAACACCAGTAGAGTAAATCAGAAATGAAAGTCAATGTTAACTTTCAACAAAGAAAAATGCATCTAGAACACAAATACCATTTGAAGGAAAATAACAAATATCTTTCAAAAATATGAGAATTAGAATTAGCTGAGTGGCTAATATTTAAAGCATACATTTTAAAACTACACTATTAACATATAAAAGAAACATAAGAAATTTGTGATGCACTGTCTTTCAGAGTCCAGAAATTTTGTTCACCCCTTTGGGTGAAAGTCTTCATGAAGGTCCTATTGCTGCATTAGCAATCTGTTCCTGGAAAACAATATTCTTGACTTGTGGTCTTACAGATCACACAGTTCGAGTATGGAACTATGCTACTGGACATTTGGAACTTTCAAAATGGTTTCAGGAAGATCCCTGCTCTGCTTCTCTACATCCTACAGGTTCAAAACCCACATCATACATTTGTTACCTATATTTTATATTCTGAAATTAATTATTTAATACACCTTTATAATTTTGTGAGTAGGTCTTTATGCTATAATTGGGTTCTCGGACAAACTTCGTTTCATGGAGATTCTCATTGATGAAATTAAAACACTAAAAAAATTGCCCATAAGAGGATGCAAAGTTTGTAATTTTAGCAAAAATGGTCATTTATTTGCTGCTGTGGATTTCAGTTTAATTCAAATATATTCATCAACTTCATATGAATTGATGATATCTCTTAGAGGACATAATGGAAGGGTAATCATATTCATTTTTGTTTTATCATAATTACGAACTTACATAACAAATGAAATAGCAAATAAAACTGCAGTATCTGATGTTATGTAATTAATAAAATTTCAGGTCACTGGCATTAGTTGGAACAGCAGAGACACAAAACTAATTTCTTGTGGTCTAGAAGGCGCTGTTTATGAATGGGACACCAGTTCTGGAAGAAGAGTAGGGGAAATAATTGAAAAATCCTGTCAATTTTCATCAGTTAGTTGTACCACTGATGGCAATATAACATATGCTGTGGGTAGTGATGGTTTACTGAGAGAAATTTCCGAATCTCAGGTAAAAGGTAACATAATGTTATAAGATGTACATAAAAATTGTCTCAAAGATTATTAAATAAGATTTATTGTGAAAAGGTTGCTGAAAAACTAATGTATATACATAGCTATGTATAATTATCTACATGATGAGTGTCACATTTGATTGCCAAGTGTAGACAAGGCAGAGGGATTTTACTCACACTTTATGACACAGAACAGGATAGGTCAAGTAAGAATGCTTAATTAGAGAAAATAAATTATTACAATTGTAATTCAAAATGTTTCCAAATGAATCATTAAATTTATCATCAATTGTGATATCAAGTATTGTGGAAGAATATATAAGAATACATTGTGAAGTGAACTATTACACGTATTACATTGACATGAATCAATGTAATTCAACAATCAACATTCTGATTGAGAATATCATTGAGAATGTTGATTCAGCATGATCACTTCAATAACAATCAATTTCAAGGAAACTAATGCTTGCATTGAACGTTTGAATCTGATTATTACTTTCAGAATCAGATAATAAAAAATACTATAAGGAATAATAGTTTAATGGGTTATGAAATACATGTTTATCAGCTTATTATGTAGGTATATAACATTTAGAATGAGCAGTTATCTATTTGTTAATGAGCTGTTATCTATTTCCATACAAATGAATGAGGAAAGAGGTGCTACAAGAAAATAAAAAGTAAAATGCACACACCTAAATTACAAAATAAGTGAGTAGGACATAAAATAAGTAAATTCTGAATCTGTATAATCCAGAACACAGATTTTACTTTTAAAGAGAAACAGAATAAACAACAAAATTTTATGGTGGGGATTAATGAGTGATAAGAAGACTATCCTTGCTTTTGCAGCACTATCTGAATAAATACTATGAATGCTCTTGGGAAAGTTATCTTTTCCAATTTCTTTGATTTGAACATAACAAAACTGAGATTGTAAATGAGGCTCATATATATGGATTGTGTCACTGGAAAGGTAAACTCACTATCAAGCACTTCAGGTTTGGACAATCCAGAATCCCTCCATTAATTTGCACCCTGCTTGAAGTCATTTGAATTCATCAAATTGTACCTCTCAAGATGTTTTAGTAAATTTTCATTTTACCTTATTTTGCCTATTTTAGCTTCTGAGGTCTATTTTGACTTATCTTAACCTTTTTCTACCTTTTATGTCATTATTTTGCTTTCTTCTCCTGGCACTGATATTGTTTAAGCTGGATACATGTATACCTGCAATGGTTGACACAAAGGCATGGTTGTACTTTGCAAAGACAAAGGAAGTTGTGACTATGTAAAAAATCTAAATGAAAAAGGGAGATGAGACCAGTCAAAATTTTTGATTTTTTTATTGATACCGACAGTCTTTGTTTGCTCATAAGGTATCCCATTCTACTTTTGAGTATGCTCTCCAATACCGTTTCAGGAGAGCTCGCTGTATATGATATGCCCTTTTCTGTGCTAGCGATTACACAAGTATGAGAGCGAAAAATATAATTCCTTTTCACTGATGTCATTTCTAGATTCAAAAGGGAGTCCACAAAAGCATTTCATATTCAGGATATGATGTATTCATTTTGTGTTTTTATAGCATTTCGTGTCTCATAAAAACAGATGATTTGAACTTGTGCCTGAACCAGAACATTAGTATTTTCCATGTACCATTAGTATTTTCATATACCGTTATAAGTAAAGCAAATTTATAGTCTTACTACTGGATGACTATATGGAATCAAGTTTACAAAGAAAAGATGTTTCCTCACACTTAAAGAGTTAAAATAAATTTTTTAGTTAGAATGAAAATGTGATTCATTTTAATTATTAATTTTTTACAATAATTCATTTTCAGTCTAATTTTTATTCTTTAAATGCCTTTTTCCACATTTACATTAGAATAAATGCCTTTTTGAATGCCTATTTTATTTAAAATAAATGCCTTTTTACCTGCTTATTTTAGATAAAATAAATGACTGAACTTTTGGGCTCTGTTCTTAATAAAATACTCCATTTGATATAACGCAATTGATATAAGGTGCTTGTTTTGGAAAAATGGGGTAAAATTTAAAATCTATTTGGGGCGG